TTCTTGGAGTTGCTCAGTTATTCATTTAAAGGATTTTATAAGCATCGGAATCATCCACATTTCGTTCAATAGAAGCCATCTTTCATAAATGTCAGTGAAAGTCTTTGACACAAAATTAATTCAATTCCTCACATCCAAATATTTTAGAAATTTTGTGAGAATTTAAAAATTTATCTGAAATGAATGAATCCGATGTTGAGTTTATCTTCAGGAATCATATGAAAATATCAATCAATCTTTCTTGATAACAGTTCAGTTTATATTTCGTCGAAGTCACAGTAATTCTCTGCGTCGCCTGAAAAAAAATTTCCACCCCATTTAAAACTAGCGTTCAGTAATGAATTTAATAATATAAGGTTTAACGGAAGAGTGCTATTCGATTACCATTTTCATGTGTTAAAATGAAAGTGTAATGAAAGAATAACATTACGAATAACTAATGATATTCAATGACCGTGATAATCAATAAGAGATTAACTTAATTTATTGCAGTATTACTGTATTAAGGGATGGCTCATTACTGCATAAGCTAATTGCTGTACTATTGTATTAAGAGATAGCTCATTACTGCTTAAGGGAATTGTGTGACATCATAGCTACATATTCGCACAGGATTGCGTGTACACAAAAGCATACATGATTTCTTTTGGCAGACGAAGTAATGAGTAGGCATGAAGTAATCGCATCTGTCCGAAAACCAGCCGCTCTGATTACCGTTGATGTTCTCATAAACGCATTCACCTTTCTTGATATCTGGTTCGCCAGATGCCCAATTCTTATAGCCATCAGTATCCAACTGCAAACGAGCAAACAGTTACCAATCAAATATTGCAAAGATTATGAATTATTTGTTCGTTAGGGTGATAAGATTTCAATACGAGTGAGTCATTTACATCTTCGAGATGTGTGAGACTTTCATCTGTGAAACATGCCCTATTTCGAGCGTGTTCACCGCGCCGATTGGGTTTGTTCTAGTTTGCAATTGAGTAATTATCTGAATGCCTGATTGATTTCAAAAATGNATACGAGTGAGTCATCTACATCTTCGAGATGTGTGAGGCTTTCATCTGTGAAACATGCCCTATTTCGAGCGTGTTCACCGCGCCAATTGGGTTTGTTCTAGTTTGCAATTGAGTAATTATCTGAATGCCTGACTGCTTTTAAAAATGATGATGATCGTACTATATTTCATCAGCAGACTATTGAAATGAAATTTATCACCGCCGTTATCATTTTCGAAATTCATCTGGCATCTAGACAACTACTGAGCGCCATTTTTCAACGCAGCTTTAGCAGTAATGTGCCACTCAAAAAAAAAAAGAAGTGATCCGTTGAAATCACCTCGATTCCAGTTGCCCATTTATATTGGTTGTTGGAATATTGTGCTCCTATCCAATAAGGACTGTAACGGGTCCCTTGCATGTCTGAATCGTAATCAATGTTATTGGACATTCCGTATTGTTACTGTCAAACAAATTTTAACTATACGCGGTCTCAAATTACCTTGTCGTCACACTGTTTCATTTCATATTCCTTCGCCCTTTCATTTTCAAAATTCATTTGACACACTTCTGCACTGATATGAATTCTCACTGTATAAATTCTTCATTCTTAAAATAATTAAAGGATCTTTGTAATGTGATGCTCATATGAAAATTTAGTCGCAGAATCGAACTCGATGCCGAAAGAGTTACCTCTGATGAAGAGATCTTTCTCGGCGCTGAGCACATCAATCATCGTTGCGTTGTAATTCTGGCAAGTTAGTTCAGCAGTGAGGAAGTCGAGCGGTTGATCTTGTTGATAAACACATTCACCGTATTCGGTGCATTTATCAGTAAACTGCACGTATGGAGGAAGACAATAGCAGTTAGCTGTAAAAATTGAATATCAAATAGCTATGGGATTAGATGAACTTTCAACTAAGACTGAATCACTTTCAGTAACAATTGAATGATACTGTGTTACTAAATAGCATTCAAGAACAATTAATAATTCTCCAGTCTCATGCATTGCATCTTTGGAATCAGTTGATTATAGTTGTTTGCATGAATAAAACAGTTCATTGCTTTACTGATGTATCTGTAAATTTAGGCTCATCAAATGACGACACCTCTGCAAATAGCATTAACGAAGTTCTCTGGAAGTTGTGCATCGAAATTCAGTTTGTAGCAATCACTTCCAACGTTCAGCACTGGATATTTTTCTATACCATCGTATTTGAGACCAACCGTTAGAATAATATTGTTGTTTTGACGTAGCTGTGCGGCAATGCGGCAAGGATTGTGATCAACGAATTTCATAAGCCTATAAAGCGATTTTTACTTTTGATCACTGCAATATAGCATATTAATGCTTAAAAAACGATTGCACCAGTCGCTATCGTACCACAGATTGGTAATCGACACTCATGAGGAAAGAATCCTTTTTACAGCTGAACTTCAGAACATAACCCAATGGTATGACTACGATGACACGGTAAAGAATTTTTGACGGCTTGAAAAATTCAAAATGTTAACGAACAGTCTGCTATATCCTTGATAATTACAAGGCTCATTAACGCTTGAGAAGAGCACGATAACATTCTGAACATTCTGACGGTGATCGTGATCGCTATCCAACATATTAGTTGCTTTATTCAGCGCACTGAAATATTTTTGTTTGAGTTTCGTATTAAAGGGAAGTTCATTGACATTCCTCACACATCTTGATTTCCTTTTCATGAAAATCCATTAGCAATGCGATACTTAGAATGTCTATCTTAGAGGTGACAAACAATGTTTTATAGGCATAAATTTGTTCGAACCAAAGAATTAAAATGGATTGTTAACAACTCACTCGCGAAGGTTCGCTTGGTTGCTGTTCAGGTACGGCATATTTCGCATTGCATTCGCTGCCTGATCAGTTGTGTTGTACGATGTCAACTCTCCCACAACTTGTGCCTACAGGTTAACCGATATCAGAGCGCGCTTGCACCGCATCTCCTACTGGCTTTCGCTTAAGTATGTCGGGAAGCTCAGTTTACCGCAGAAATGGCGATTTCTTATTGAATACAGTTTTGAAACAGAATAGAATGTGAATACGTGAATGAGCAACATTCAAAAATACCTGATCACCCATATTGATGATACCAACTCTAGAGAATTTTCCGATTTCTTGACTGACCGGAATTGATTGAATGAATGCAGCAGCGAAGTTTCTGACCTGAAACGTCCCAAAGTGTCATTCAAGGCGAAAAATGACATTCTTCGTGTGTAATGAACGCATTGAAAAAAAAACATGCCGAGCGATGACTATGCAACAAACCGCCATGAAGTCTTGTTTATTGACAGCCTTTGATGAATCAATTACGAAGATAAGGTCAAGCCACGTGTGAGCAGTATTGCATTTGCATCCTCTTGGTGCTGGCGATACTGCAAAATGAACAACTTTTATTCACGCACCTTGCTTCATGAGTATGTATGGAAGCAATAGCGACAATTAATCGTGTTACTTTGGGTCTTTTTACTCCATTTATATCCTGAGGATTAGACGTTAAAATCACTCACTAACTATATCGGTGCATAGCTGATCAATAGCACTGGCTAAAGCGTCGTAGTTGTCAAAGGTGTAGACACGTTTTGGATTACCAGCTACTTCAATCAATTTATTATGATCGGTCCCTGAAATGAATTTCAACAACTGAACCATTGCATCAATGATCACATGTCGATAAATATATCTCCTATAGTTCGAATGTTTAGATGGCATTGAAACAGTATTTACGCTTACGAAAATATCCGTTTGAATAAAATTCAAAAGATAAACCTTCGCCTACTCCAACTGCATATGTAATGATGTCGTTCTCCTCGGCTACTGCACGCTCTGCGGTAACATTAGAGTTATCATCCCCATCGGTTATCACAATCATCACCTTCCTCACATCACGGTTTGACACTTCCGCGAAAACCTTTAGCATTATGAACATCATGTATTAGGCTTCGTTCATGATTTGCGCTATGTTTTAAATACTGTTTTCACGTGTTCATATCGTAGTCATTCTATTTTTCCTGTACATTGCAATTAAAAAATTGTTACTTCTGTTAAAGCGGTGTGCATCCCAGCCGCGATGTCCGTTCCACCTTCACTGTAGGCTGATTTGCGAATTTCGGATGCTACATCTGAGTTATTTGTATATTCGTCCAAACCAAAGGCGACATGTCCCTGACCATCGAACAACACCATTCCAACACGGCTATCCTAAACTCAAACAAAAGATATAGATTTATATGCATCTACAATTTCCCGGTGTTTCAAGTATCTCAGCTTTGTTTTGAATGTGATCATTCAGTAAGATTACTTCATTGGAAGTCTGAGAGCGATAGAACAACCGTAGAATGATAACAGAATAATTATTTTCGAAAGATTCAGCGCAAACATCGTGCGAGAAACGTTAGAAAATAAAGTTGTAAAATACACCAAAGATGGAAACTCGCGTTTTGTGTAGTACCAATGTGAAGTTTTTCCGTGAGACCAGCTACGGCATCCAGTGCGGTCTGTTAAATAAGAAAGCTGTTATTGAGCAATTGTTTTTGGATCGCAACTTTAAATTGCGTTTGTGCTCATTTTAATGTGAATTCATAACTCTACGCATGAAGAAATAAAATCAATTGGTGTTCATCAGCGAGGAATTCATGAAGTGAATTTGCTGTTTTTGGGTTTCAACTTCAAAGAATTCAGAAAACCCAGTTGATCCCTACACAACTTACTCAATTGAATCTTGCACGTATTGATGTAATGAATAAGTTCCTAACGATAAATTGTTTGGGTTACAAAAAGTCACCATTCATCATTTAATTATGAAGACAACTTGATTTCGATCAACTGGTAGAATTCCTGGATAATTGTGTGATTCACCTCGAAAAACTACCCAATTTGTCCATTAAACACCAACCTTATAGTTGTTATCTCCAATACTGCCCGATTCGTCAATTACAATCACAAGGTCAATTGGTACGTTTTTACAGCTTTTTACTTTAACCGCGCCTGAAGGTGAGTATGATCGAGACATTCAGTTGAATGAGTTTACGGACCGAATGAGTAAGCAGAAGCTGAGGTTAAACATAAACATACGAAGCAGACTATGGTGTATTGAAGTAACAGTTAACAAGTTGCATTGGCTCGCACGCTCATCTAGTACTTTGAATGCTTCCTTTTACATCTATCACTTTCATCAATTTGCATTTCAGTTCGACTACCGTAGTTGCATTCACGACTGCGGCCTTGGTGTTTGCATGGCAATGAGCAATTTTATCAAAATGTGAACTGCTTTTTGAAGTTCACGCAGAAAGTACATGAAAACTCACTTGAAACGGCAATCCTAACACATGGAGATTTATCATTTATTTTTCTTTCCTTCGGTCCTTAAAAAGGTCTACTCTATCTGGGAAGACGTCAATGCGGTGAACACAGCAAAAGGATAAGTAACATGGAATGCTTTCTCATAAGTATGTAACGCTTACCAATGAGCCCTGCACAGAGGGCAATTGCGCTCAACAACTGCGTGAAGAATCGCATCATGAGACCGCTCACTCAGTCATGTCATTGTGCAGCATCTACCTCCTTAAATACTTTTCGTACGGGTGAAATTGTTGAAATCGAAGAAAACGATCTCAACGAACAGCGCCGAAAGAAACGAGCACTCTCCGCATTTTCTTTTTCCTTTGCAAAACTGAAAACGTGAATGAATGATTCAACAATCACGCTCGAACGTTTCACAGAGGTTATTTTGATTCCACTCAATTGTGTTATTTGAATATTTGTTGTTATGTCTATCATATTTGAATATCTGTTGTTATGTCTATCTTAATTCCATTTCTTTGCTATGATGTTGTTGATCGGTCCTTTTGTGGATGTTTCTATCTCAACTGTTTTCATAATTTTTGTATTAAAAATTCTCTTATCTGTAACACATGGTTTAAAGCATTTGTGAATTTCAAGGGAAATTTTGTCGAGCAATATGTTTGCTTTCCTTTGATCTTAAATACTTATAAGCAAATGAACATTGATCCTTAACAACTGCTTGAAGCTTTCCTGATTTGTAAGGCGCGTGGTCTTAATAGTTGAATCAAACCAGTGAAGCAGAGTGCAGATTATTAGAAGCCAGCACAATCAGAAATATGTTCTGAAAATCAC